TGACTTCGCCCGCGTTACATATTGACTTGTCAGATTTTTGGTTTCAAAACTATCCTAAGTTCTTTTTCGAGTTCCAAACTATGTTTGTACCAAATTTCACTCAAATCGGTTCAGTAGTTTAGGCGTGAAGAAAAGACAGACAGAGACTTTCGCACAAATATAAATAATATTCTGACCTTTTAAACCTTAGACCAAAATTATCCAAAACGGAGCAGCCGTTCTTGAGTTTTAGCGAGACTAACAGCAATTATTTTTTATATATAAGAGATATCACGGTATTTGAGTTAATGCGGGTATTTGAAACCAAACTCGTTCCATATCTTAAACGGTATTTTACGATTACGCGATCATTCTTGTCGGAGTGCATGGCAATATAACGAACCCAAGTAATGCATTCTGCATTCTGCATTCAAGTATAAGCGAGTATTACTTTATTGAACCGTACACCGCAAAAGCGGAAACGCGCCGGTGTTTGCGATCCGCGCCTACACGAACTTCCGTCTATGCTGTCCTGAACAAATAGAGCGGTACCGTTACTGCAACCCTGCGAATGGGCGTTTCATTGGCCGCGCTTACATGCAACCATTTATAAATTCAAATGAACACACTGTACACAATATACACAATACGTGCGTCAGGTCTCGCCGGACGATATTTGATTACCACTAACCCAATAAAAGCACATGTCGCCTTTTTGTTGTTCCCAATTTAGAAAGGAGACCTTTCACGACACCTTTCCATTCCAAGTAAATTAACTTTCAAGACACTATTATCAGCTTCTATCCAATAATTCTTATCAATAAAATTATTCAGGATATCACTTGCTATACAAACGTGTCTCAACGTCCATTATTTACAACTGATTCATAGTTAAACTTTTTCCAATATCTATTTTATTGAAACTATCCTGATTCAACTTCAGTAGCAGTTGATAAACGATGTGACGTCATCTTAACTATTTATCGTTTAAGAGGATTCAAGGCGCCTAGTAGTTGTTGTTTTGTATTTTTGCGTTGCCTTTTTCTTTGGGAGTGTATCGGATGAACTGAGAGTTGTGTGAGAATATTCCGTCCCACACCTGTCGGCTCACACGTTAACTACTCACGTATATAAATGCCCTCCAGTTACATTTTCTTTTTCTACACGCCCGAAACATGTTTTTTGTATTATTGTTCCCTTATTTTCCTCCTATTGGGATACATTTTTTGTGTCGGAAATATAAGTTTTTCAGTTCGTTTAGCTCTCACAAATAAACTAACAAGGTACTTCATTATTTGTGGACTTTTAAACTTGTACAATATACTAACCACTTAACTATAGTTTTCAACGAATTAACCACTACATAAGTAGTGATCAAACCATGATTAGTCAACGTGTAACATGGGATTGCGTGAAGACCTCGAATAAATAAATAATTTATCATTACTTGATGGAATTGGTTATATACGTATAGGTAAACTGTATGCTAAAAACAGCTGGATAAAATATGAATCCGACTTGCAACTTTTTTTATTTAGTAGGCCCAGCAAAGGTGCGGTGACCTGCCACGTCGACGACGTGATAATGATAAATGTGGGGCCCACCTAACCCCTATCAAAAATATTTTCCGATTCCGACCCTTCCCTGCTCGTGGATCTAAATAAAAAACGAATTGTATTGTTTTATAAATAATGTAAAATTACAAACGCAGTGCTACATGATCCCAACATTTTCAGGAATTCTTTCGGCGGCGCCAGCGTTCGCTTACATTAATTAATTGCTCCTGCTTCGTCATATTTTTTAATATTTCTGACTGGTTGATGATTTATTTAACCGCTGTCACATCGCGGGTCAAAGATACTTTTGGAATTTTTTGCTTAGGCGTGTCCTTATAATGGGCATATAGAACATGAGAGCTAGAGGCTATTATTGGATATCGCTTACAAGGGATCCCATGTTTGTCGGTGAGACAGGCGCTGTCGATCGCTCGTTTTATCCTCATGAAAGGCAGTTAAGCTACAAAGGCGGCCCACTTACAAGTTCACTTTGCTGAAGGAGATCTACAAAAAGTGTCGCCTTCCGTCGGCGAGTAAATAGCAGTGGTCCATTAGAGGGCGCGGGTGACAGCGCGCGCGTCTCCACGATAACGTGTTCCGTGCAAATCGAATCACGGGGAGCGAGCCATTATGCAGATTTTCCATTAAAGAAAAACTCAAACAGTGGCCCCGTCCTTTAGTTACGTCATTCGGCGCATTATCGTGACGAAGAGCGTTCAATCCATCTTTCTGGGCGTCTAGCCCGGTGGAACTCAATGACTCACAATTTCAACTTAATAATGCATTTCCATATTTCATATTGAAAACGTTATTTAAGGTAAATGACCTAAGTTGTTACAAAACGTAACAACTACGTTTCTTTTAATTATCTACGTATGATCTACCTATACTTATCGTAGGTATATACATCATAATCAAACACAATACATGTAGGTATTTAAATATTTAAATACTGAACAAAAAATACGTATACGGACATGGGCAAATCCGGGTGTAGATTTACGAGAAGATAGAAGATTTTAATCGGTAAATTAGAAGACTTGTGAATGCGTTTTTAATTTAACGGTTTGTTGGCTCTCGGTGATCCTGTCAACGTCACTTGCCTCGAAACACGGACATGTACGTGTTTGTTGGTGCCTGAAAGCGAAATAGACAAACGTGTTTTGGAACAAGACAATCGATCAATGACAGGCCGACAATTTGACACCTCGTACAGTGGCGAGGGTCGGCTTGTCGTTAAACACCCGATGTCCGCTTATTTTACCAAAAAGCGGATCGAATTTGATACGTCATCTCTGAGTGATTTTTAAAGCTCGTTGTGAACACGAACCAGATATGTTTTGTAAATAAATGGGGGCGTCGAGTATGAGATAGATGGCAATGATGACAGATCGTTATTGTAAATGCGTTTTTGTACTTAATCTATTAGTTTGTAATAGGCAGAGTGTACACACATACGCAGTATTCGGTATAATAAGATGGGCGCACCCATCCCTTTCCTTCCTCCTCGTAAAATTTATTAATAATTTTAATTTTGCTGATTTTGTTTCCGTGATATTACTATTTGTAATAAATTAATCTAAGAGAAACCTAAATATATTCTTACAGGCAAGGAAAGGGACATCGCAGAAGTTGACAAAACAGCATTCCTTTTATCGTCAAATCGTTTGTTTTACGGCAATTTCTGATAATGTTCTTCGATTCCAGTGGAAATTGAGATAACTTTCCTTTTTAATTCTTTCCTGTTTTTTTCGGGTTTTATTGTTCTGACTTCATACTTCCATTATTATAATATTTTAATAATTTAAATAATCATTTATATGTTACTTATATCATATCTCTATTACATTTACCTATCTTAAAAATGGAAATTTTAAAAGTTCAAATGATAAATTGTTTGTTACTACATTAATATACCTAACTGAATTGCATCAATAAAAATTGTACCTATACGTGATTTTTTTATAAAACTGTTTTTCGATAATGTTATACTATAAAGTCCTTAATATACATTGCGTTTAAGTATCAAGTTTAAATAAAAACACGTGCCACTAAACGCTGTTAACTAATTGTATTTGTGACCATCCATACATTTTCCTTAAATAATATATTTGCCGATATTGTGAAGTGTAGCAAATAGTTACTAAGTTATTTAATTGACGTTTTGAACATTAAGTTGGGATGGAAACACGAATCCAAAATAAAGGTCAAAGTATCAAATCAGCAATTCAGTATAAAGAGCGACAACTACAATCTCTTTGATAAGTTGTGAAAGGGCCTCTTGTCGGACAGCATGTAAATAAGTTCTCAACAATAATAAATGTCTACATTTTGTTAGAAGAAGGGCTTTATGATAATATAGCAACAACATAGGCCCAGGTCACCTTTATCGAAAATATTAAACCATTATTCGACCTCATTCATACAATCGATAGGTAAGTGTGAAGTGTCGTGCCAATAGCAGACAGATCCCTGTTACAAAACACTAAAGGTACAAAGTATTGACAAATAAACTAGTGGATTTCCGAGAATAAAGGTTTAGTGGCGTCCCGGGCGGCAGTTAAAGTGATAGTTGGGAGAGCCGCACAGGCAATAAGTCAGTGTGAAGACGTGTGCGAAGGAAGAAGTCTTATGGTGTCTGTGCGGGCTATAACAGTAAATCTGAAGGAGGCTCGGATTTACGTCAACCCGCAGTGCACTGAGGCCGCGCCCGCCGCCCTTAATTACCGCCCGCCGAGATTACTTCCCGCTGCGGTGCCGTCCACACATATGACCCGCGAAAACAACCCTTCTCTGCACAACACTTCTCTTTAATTTACTGCTATCCTAGTACTTATCACCGTCTACTTACTAATCTACGTGCGACTTCCTACATTCTTTTTTAACAACGAGTTTCAGCCGTTTTTGATATTACTTTTTTGCTTTACTTTATCCAATTTAAAATTTATCAGCAGTATCTTCATGAAATCTGGGTTCTCTAAAGATTAGGACTTTTCAGTAAATGTGAGATACAACAATCCGATCTTAGAAAGTAAATGTAATCTGCGTATTATCTCTTTTGTCGTCATTTCTGAAAGCGCTGACACAAATTGTATTCAGGGTCATTAATATCTCTCTCTTATTTGACCGCCCTTAGCATTGCGCCTTCTAATCACAATTCTAAATTATATATTATGCCCCGCTCCACTTAAAGATGATCCTCAATTTAATATTGTATTGGACTGTATGTATATTCTAAATTCTCAAGTGGTATTGAATTGTGGTATTTGTTTTGCAACAAGTGCGCGCTTATTAAATTGTGTATAGTAACAAATAATCTGCAAAATGGTTTATTTAACGAATTCATAGATCATTTAATCGTTGTTCAAACTAGTACTTAGCAATTGTTTTTGGATCAAAATCGTTAAATAAACTTAAGCATTTATTTAGGAATTATGTACACAAAATAAAAGTTGGTACCTACATATGGCGGACTTAGTGCCTGCCATATGGCATCCTGTACCTTTGGGTCAAGTAGAAAACTCGGCGAAAGATAGATCGTCAGGACCGTTTCAAGTCATCAGCGTGATAAGAGCATGTGAGGTAACTAGTAGTAGATAGAATTTCTGAGCTAACATGGCAAGAAGGATATCGTTCTCAACCGCGTTAAGAGTTGGAGAAGTCGAATAAAAGTAAAGCGGTTGATTTTGAAGTCATTATACCATACCTCACTAGGGGTCGCAAACCGGGATACCGAATTTCGAAAATACCGGAATACTAATAAATTAAAAACAAGTAAAAGTAGTAAAAGTTACGCGCCATTATTAATTATATAACTAATAATTACTGCCGATACTGCTCTGAAGTTTATGTTCACAAAATTAGACGACATGCAACATGAGTTAGTTGCTCGTGAACTTGTAACTGCTCTGAAACGTAGGGTTAAGGAACCAAGGTTGCTGGTTGCTTCAACCTTAAATTATCTACATAACCCAAAAACCTATTTCAATTCAGCAAATGAATACTGCGATGTATTTTTAAGGCCAGATTGCCCAGAGATGAGAAAACACATTGTGGATGTTGTCAAACCCAAAGAAATTAAAATTTAATCCGGAATCTACACCATGATGTTACTGTTTCTATGATTTAATAATATTTTGATTACCTCTATATAACTCAATTTGATTTGGACTGAATTTAATTCAATATTTTTTATTATTTTGTTAATTAGAATATTATTTGATGATTAGTAAACCATACTAAAAGTTAATTTTATGTTTTATGAGATGTTCTTATGTTTTTTTTTTGTTTTATTAGAAGTTTATTTTTTTTGGTTCTTTTGTTTATGTTGAGACTGTTAAGAGATGTTTAAGTTTGATAGACATTTTATTTTTAGAAGGAACTGATTCCTACTTCCTTGTCAAAGACTACATTACATTTAATTAAAGTATTTGAACTAGTTAACCTAAGTTATTTTAATAAAGGAATAAAAGGGCATTTAGTATTAGCAAATTATTGCTAAGAACTATATGAATGACTAATTGATTACCAACATATCAAATATAAACCTCGTGTTATTTATTACGTTACGTTACCTCGTTTTATTTAGAACGTAAATTCATTTAGGTACCTACTTACTTTTCGTCCGGAAACTAACTTTATAATACTAAATGTGCTAACTTTAGCTTAATCCCGGAAATATCGAAAATACCGGATTATCGGTATTGGTCTGAAGCCAATACCGAAAATACCGGTTTTGGTAAAATGATACGGTATTGCGACCCCTATACCTCACATGTTCTCTCTCTAGTCAGTAGAGGTGCTCTAGCTAATTAGATAGGATAAGGACAGGAGTTTGTGCTTAGAGATGTAGGGGGACATTTGTTTAAGATCTACTGCTTCAAGGATTTTCAATTGGTAGTAGAGAATTGGTACATGGTGATTAGTCTGACTTGTACTTGGAATCTTTGAGATAGGAATGGCTTTTACAGTCTGGCTTTTAGCTTTTTGCCAGTTTAAATGCAATAACCGTGGAATAATGAAATATTGACTATGTGGTGTCTTACAGAGTATGGGAAGGAAATGCTCAAATTATCCGAACCTATTTGGTCGTGGATTGGATTTAAAGGCAAAAGAATCAAATTCGACGATTCCAGAATCGAGCGCAGCCCTTGCGACTTTGGTCCAGTGTGAAGACTGGACCAAAGTCGCAAGGGCTGCGTGCAGATCTGTATTCAAAGTCACCAATGTTAATAAAGACCATGTCGCTCTGCTAAGAAATGCTGCCCTCTTTCCAGTACGATCATTTCTGATTAGTAAAGAAACGCGTCGACTGTATGATGTAACAAGAAAGCAGAAGTAGCTAATCTAAATATTGCAAAAAATGTGGTTGTCATAAGGAGAAGCTTTGATTTCAGAAGATTAATGAATTAATAAAAACAATATTTTTCTAATACTTATTTTTATATTCCGGAACCCGTCTGTGTATGTGGTAATCAAAATGTTGCCTAATCAGATGTCCGGGATATACTTACAAAATATTGATTGTAATCTAATCATCATTAAAATAGTATTTTGTATCATTATTGATTAACCTGCCAACTGCAAAATATTAACACATCGGAATGTGTTACGATAACAAATACCTATCATCGATGTGTAGTCACCGATATCTGAGAGATCTCTAAATATCAACAATATGATTGCGGGCTGTGTGCGCATCGTAATCAATAACTCGGGCGGCGTCGACTCGCGCGCAAGTCCGCGACCCCGCCTTTATACTATTTGTTAATATTCCTCATTCCGCGGTTCGCGCTTACGCGTAACGGGTTCGCGACCTAACACGGCCGTTAAAAAGTAATAATAAAAAAATCAATCCGTGTATTTTTTTATTTGTAAGCAAAATTAGTGTGTTATATAAAAACTACTCAAAATGCGTACTCACTTGCGCTTAGCGCTCCTCGGAATTGTGTTTACGGGAACTATGATACTGTTGGTTAGCTTTTCGGATTTAAATTCTGGACCGTCCTCGGGAAGACATATTCGAAACTTGCGCGTGTACCGTGATGTTCATAATGAATTTGATTTCAACCAACAACCGACCGAAAACCGGACCATAACAAATGAAAAGCAGCAATTTGTTAAACAGGTGTGATTTTTTAATTTATTTGTTAATAACCTCTTGGGGCTTTTTCTGTTATCCTTATCAATACATTTTATATAATTTATCGTATGATAACGAAATATGAATACTGAAAATCGCCAAGTATATTTTAACATTGTAACGGTAGAGGACTACTTGATTATTCAAGTTCCACAGTTGAGATCGCGTCATTACGCGATGTTCAACAATTTCGATCTGTTTTTCATCTCGCTAAGCTCTATTTAAAGTGTAATTGGTTAAGTCGCTCAGTTTTTCCAAGTCACTGGGGACTGAAAGTTTCCCGGTACCTAATAATAATTAATGGCCCCGACGAAAGTCCGATATCCTTTCATTAGTGTCCCGTCTCCGCACGGAGCGGTCGAGATTAAAACTTGTTCAGAATAAGAGCTTTGCGAGCACACTTTTTGAAAAGACCTCGTTCACGGCACGGCTTTGAAATGTGAAATGTGGTCGCTGCTCTATGAAAAAATATTAGTTCACATGATCCGGAAAACATTTTTGAATTTCCCGTTGCAACCGTTTACAGTGTACATTTTAATCTAAACTTTGGATAATGTTGTGTGGGGACTTGAGCAAAATATACTTATACATTTAAATATTATTAAGATGTCGAGAACGTTATGTAATTAAATTGTTTATCGCATAATGAGCCCGCAATAGACTTAGGGCTTGTCACAATGTCTGAATGGCTACTGTGTACTCGATACATTTTAATATAGAACGTTAATTGTATGATATACGTGTCACATAAATTTATTAGGAACTTATGTGACGGTGATGAAACAGTCGCAGGACCCAAAGGGCGTTATCTAAGTCTTCTGTTTACCGTTTAAAACATGATTAACATATTATTGTTCTTTCACAGATGATGCTGCACGCGTGGAACAACTATAAGCTGTATGCCTGGGGCAAGAACGAGCTGAAGCCGATGTCGAAGCGAGCTCACTTGTCGAGCGTGTTCGGTGCAGGCGAGCTTGGCGCCACCATCGTTGATGGTCTCGATACTCTGTACCTCATGGGGCTCAACGACGAATTCCGAGAAGGACGGGACTGGGTCGCTGAACATTTGCATATTAATGAAATTGTAAGTCAAACAAAACCTGTTATTTGCAATATTTAGGATAAGTGTCGAACTACAATCATCACGAGAGAACTACATCATCATGCATAATTCCCTGGTTTTATACATGCCCATTTAGTTTGTTAACATATTTTTATTACTAGTCTTAAAAAGCGTCTAATCAAAACTTCATTTAACGCCTGTTGGTACTAAGCTGTTGGACATTGCCGATAATATTGTTGTTAAAGTAAGACATGACGTAATGCTTTCCTGTTAATTAAGAGTGTGTACGCACATCGAAATGCTAAATTGGCTGTAGTGATGGATAACGAGTCTAATAATGGACCGTACACATGTTAGCTTAAACTAATACTAGCGTATGTCGGCGATAACAAAGGCCAAGGGAGCCAGATTGCCACATTTCATCTACAAGTAGGGCAAAACAAGTATTTAGGTATCCGTGTCAATGAGGAAATATCTAATTGATTTGTTTGCACTCTCGAAACCCTCGATATTTATACCGCGTCTTTGTTGAAATAGATGAATCGACGCTTCTGTTCAATCGAGCATGTCTTGCAGAAATATGTACTTACTAATTGACATTATAATGTAAGCAATGTAGATACATCTGTACACAAGTTAAAACAAGTATGTCCATTATAACCTAAGGGCTGATTTTTCAATAGTTAGAAAAATGTTATCTGGGGAATAATTATGATGCTGTCGCGTCAGAATGTTTGTATAAGACAGTGACAGCAACAATTTTATTCCTCAGATAACATTAGCGTTGTTTATACGGGAATGTCTGAGAACTGTAAATTTTGGTCGCACAAACAATTGGATTGCAAAAACAGAACAATATAGGTATTGTTGAATAAATTTAAAACCAATTGTTTGCATTTAAATGTACAACTACGATAACACGAAATGAGTATTTCCTATACGATGTTAGTTTTAGCTTAAACGTTACGTGAACTTTTTCCTTCATTCTCCTTAATTGTGTTTAACGATCCCCATGGGGTGTTTAAGAAATTTATCTTCCTTTCAGGATTCCGACTTGTCTGTGTTCGAAACGACGATCCGGTTTGTTGGAGGTCTCCTGTCATGTTTCGCGCTGACCGGAGACACAATGTTCAGAGACAAGGCGGCGGAAGTGGCCGACGCCTTGCTGCCAGCATTCGACACACCCACCGGGTTGCCATATGCTCTCATCAACCCGTCCACCAAGGTAATTAAATGACCGCCTTGCAGATGTCTGCTCACACGCTTCCCTATTTTGTTTTTTTTTATGTAATAGGTCGGCAAACGAGCTAACTGATTACCTGATGGTAAGCAATCAGCGTCGCCCATGGACACCCGCAACGACGGCGGAGTTACGAGTACGTTGTCGACCTTTTGGAGATTAGGGATTTGGAGATTTTGGGAAAGGGAACGGAATTTTATCCCTTAAATTATTTGGCTAATGTTTGTGGCCTACGATCCTTGTCTCCATTACCAAACAATTATAGTCGAGTTTCATACCTAGCTGTATTGTATTATATTTATAATCTAGGATCATATCTACTTCATGTTTATCGTATTTATACGTGATAGGTAGTTGAACTGATAATTTGCTCGAATTCGATATCGTAATGTATTTATTTTATCTTGTTTCTAGTTGCTCTCAATATAATTTAGGCTAGATTTTCCGACGCTGTTTCGGCTCTATTCGGCTCCTAAGTCGTATCGCCTTGTTTTGTACCTATTTGTGTATGTATATGCTTTTATCGAAATACGGAGTATGCAAAACAAAAATAATTGTTCAATTTTTACTAGTTGATCCGAAGGGATATTCAAAAAAAACCCGCAAACAGCATCAAATGTTTGGCTGAAACTATCCTTCAAAAGTCACGAAATATCATCGCCAAATCCTAACAAGTCTCTCTTATTTCTTAAAACAATAAATTGCCAAAATGAAATATCTTTTATCTTTTATTAGGGATCTTTACACGTGTGTGAATTTAAAATCTTACATATGCAAAAATATAGCACGACACGTCACAACAATCTGGACCAACGCAAACATGTAAATCTAAATAAGGATTTTAATCGCCGACTCATAAATTCATCTTCCATAATCGTTTTCTTAAGTCGCGTACTTATATTATTGCAGCAATTAAACATCCTTCTATGCTAAGTAGTACTGATAAATGACCATCTGATAAATGGTTTTAATGAATCGTAAATAGCTTGCAGTCTGACTGGGTATAATATTATGACATTATTATTATAGTTAGGATGACTTCGTACAATTTCATAATTTGTAAACCATGATAAATGAAGGCAGCTGATCGTTTTACTAAAGCAATTAATATCAAGTTTTCTATACGACGGACCTTCAGTACTTTATAATAATTTTGATTGTATACATTTATCAGAGAAATAAAATGATACTATTGATTTCAGCGATTTTGTTCGTCGTAATAATATCTACGTAACATAGTCAAGATTAATATACTTTTGCACTTAGGCGTAAACAATAAAAGGCGCACACAATAATAAACTTCAAGCCGGTTTAATAAAATATTTTCTTAAATAAACACCGGCCACAATTTGCTCGTAGTGTACGCTAGTAAATTATCAAGCCACCGAACTATTTATTAATCAAAGATCCAATTTCCTCCGTAATATGATGACGTTAGAACAGGATGGTTATAATAAATGCAATATCCTGAAAATATGGCTGACGTTCCGCTTATCAGATGTGTTAAAATAATTTTGATATTCTTTTATTATATATTTAAACTAATTCTTTTGCATCTTTTTGAATATTGTATTATGTTCATTAATTTTTTTTTTTAATTTACTTTGTTTCAAGAAATGCGACGGGGTATGCTTTCAATAGGCACTTAATGTGCATAATAATAAATAAATAAAATAATAACATAAATTTTGTTTGTGTGAACGCGCTTATCTCTACTACTAATTACTGGTTCGAATTGAAATTTTGTTTTGTATAATTAAATGTCCATTTAGCGAGGAAACTGCAATTGGGTAGTTTTCTAGGTCAATAATAAAGTAATTGGACAACAACAACACAATCAAATATTGAAAAATAGCGGCTAAAATAACACACACAATAATTTTTAGCATTGTTTTAAAAAGAAGTAAATGGTTTTTATGAAGAAGTAAGCCGCATTGATGACCCGAAAGTGCTATGACATGATAATTTGTAGTTTCATACAAGTTTCATAGCAAGGTATCATTTGAATAAAATTTAATTATTGAATTTGATTAATTGGAAACTACCGGCTAAACGACCGAAGAAGGTTCTTATGAAAGCGAAGAAGGGGCGCGGTGCTAGTTTAAAACTTAGGCAGATTATTACTAGAAGTACATTCGACACAAAGTTGAATGCGATGCGATATGAACACGCGATATTTTCGATCGTGCTCGTGCGATATCAAAATATCTACCTAATATGCTTTCTTGATCATGATAATGCTATTTTTATTTTATTCAACAAAACGTATTTTATCTTGACCATTCAAAAAATAAAATACCCTTAATAAAATCATACGATTATCGATGGCAACACAGCGTGTAAGTTTTCGTTCTGTTTGGCCGCGTTCACATTTTAAATTGATTTAAAAATATTTGCACATATGTTGTCTGTAAGTTAATTAATTTAGCGGGACATCTCAAAAGACCAAACTATTTATTTCAGTCTTTCTGCTATATAACATAAACGGAATAATAAAAATGTTTGCTTCACTTGATAACCGAACCTATTGCTCAATTCTTGCTTCATGTGTTTATCAGCAATTCTTCGTAACGCGTGAATAAGCTGCTGTTACCATGTCAATTTGCCTTAACAATCAATGATTAGGACTTATTTAAATAGGTACTTAGTCCGTCTATCCGCTTTGTCTTTATTGTTAGCGTCACTACTAACATTAAGAAACTCATAACATATTAACCTATATGTACATATTACTACTGAAGTAGGCTTATTTAAAAATGTTGACGTACTTAAGTGTGGGAGAGCCATGTTTAGGCACGAATGGGTCGGCTCGACCGGAGTGATACCACGGCCTCACAGAAAACCGGCGTGAAACAACCACAGCATTGTGTTTCGCCGTGTGAGTGAGGTTACCGGAGGCCCAAACCTTCCCCTCCCTCCTCAATCTCTTAATCTCCAAATCCCTAATCCCTAAAAGGTCGGCAACGCACTCGTAACTCCTCTGTTGCGGGTGTCCATGGGCGGCGCTGATTGCTTACCATCAGGTAAACCGTGGTGCTCGTTTGCCGACCAATTACATAAAAAAAAACTTATGTTTACATGTCTTTATAAATACAAAACCATTTGGATTTCAGTCACCATTTGTTTATTGCTATCTCCTTATTCGGTAAATTTTGCAGGCAAGCCGTCAATACCACTGGGCGGGACCGAACAGCATCCTATCTGAACTGGGAACGCTCCATCTGGAGTTCACCTACCTCAGTGACGTCACGGGCCGTGATAGTAAGCACATTTGTCATAATCCAATATTATTAACAACCATTCATCATGTCCTCTTGAAGCGTCCGAGCCGACGCGACGCGACATGCCTCGCGCTTTACTTTCTTTTTGTTACTTGAAAGATCGAGCGAAGCAGTCCCAAGACTTCGGAACTTATTCAAACTACATATTTCATACACAGCTTTTAATATATTTCACTATTGAGGCTTAACTGTTATATTTTCATTTCTTCTATTAGTTTCATTGGTCGATAAAATTTAAATTATTTTTAAAAGTATGTATCATTGCTTGGTATTCGGTTTTATAAATAAAAAACATTAAATGCGAAATTATAAAATTGAACTAAATAAATGTACCATTTGTTTAATTATTTACGATTTTGTTTGAATTGTAGGTACATAATGTTTTTTCTACAGTTTACAGGCAGAAGGTGAGTCGCATCCGTGAGGTTTTGGATCAGATCGACAAACCTGGCGACTTGTACCCCAACTTCATCAACCCACGGACTGGACAATGGGGACAAAGTAAGTGCAAACATTCATTATAATCTTTTTAGTTCGGCTACTGCACGGCTGCCCCAGTAGTTGGACAACTAGCTTCTGTGCAACGTGTCGCGAGTTCAATTCCAGCACGGAACAACACTTTGTGTGATCCACATATTGTTGTTCCGGGTTTGGGTGTGATGTATGTGAATTGTTATGTTTGTAAACGCACCCATAACACAGGAGAAAATCCTAATGTGGAGCAACGTTTTTTATTTAAATAAAGAATTTAATAAGACTCTAATTATGTAATAATCAAAATAATGAAATATCAGAACAGTGACTGACGTATCCCACAGCTGAATGAAGTAATATTGTGAAATAAAAATTTGCGATTTTAGATGGCAGAAGGCGGTTTTCCCATGTTAAATATCAAATCAAACCAAATCTTATCAAATCAAAATCATTTATTCCAACTAAACCATAAATAGGTACTTTTGAAACGTTAAAATAGAATAGTAGTCTGTCAGTCTGTTCTTCAGTGAAGCTAGGTGCTCGTTCCAAATTGTAGTTTCGAATGGAGAACAACGAGCAAGAAACTCCATCGTTACTCTTTTTGACAATTATTATTATTTAATGCAGCTAAACTTTATTTAGGACCTTAACAAACCATGTATACTAATACGTAGTAACAAAATAATAATTAAATAAAAAGAGCAACAAAGGAGTCTCTTGCTCGTTCTTTCATTGATAGACAATTCAATTTTGACCTTTTAAAAGTGCCTGCTTAATATTTGTTTTTTGTTATTCATCATATAATTTATGTTATCTCGCTATGTTCTAGATTACATTATTTTACACCTTTGTATACGATGTTTCCTTGCAAATAAATGATTATAAACATTCTCTAATGCGTATACGAATATCTATAATCTTAGATGTTGTAACACTACAACATATTAGTCATGAAAAGTAATTTCGGTAGTCTTGCAATGATAGTCTGGACACGTGATACAGAAATCGGATTTAAGTGTTAATTCCTCATATCCGGCTTAGATTGCTAGTGGATCTTTAAGGAATTATTAATTTAGTGCACAATATAAGATAAAAAACTTCGTGGACTAGAATAGACGCCAAATGTGTGGAAAATAAGTAGATTTTTTTTAATATAGCCTTCCGTATTGCTATATCCTGTATCGTGGGTGCGTTTACTAATATGCAATCTCAAATACACGTCACACACCAAACCTGAAACAACATTTTGTGGACCACACAAAGAGTTTCGTGCAAGTATCAAACCTGCGACATGCAGCACGGTAGGCGGTTATCAACGGTGCAGTCAAAAGTAATGATAAATACTTCATTGTCACGTCATAAATGTCGTAATTTCCTGCTAACGTGGCAAATGTGACAGAACATGTGTAAAATGATTAGGATGTTATCAGAAAAACGTTAATACTTTCGTATCTACATAATAATATGTATATCTATGTATGATATGATACGTTATTATGTATGTGGAAATTCCAAGAATAAGGTCAGCTTACTAGACATTATAATCGTTAGCAGAAACAACGAATGTACCAACTCGGGTTTTTTATTCGATAATTTGAGTTGAAAGGTCTCGTGATAAGTTTTATTATTGTTTTAGAACTTTGGCAAATTCCATTCCGTTCTAATTTTTTTTACATCACAACATAATGTTTAAAAAATATCTACCTTACAGTTAGTTTAGTTAACCGGAGTTTACTCTTGCTTTTGTTTTGTTTTAGTAAGTTCATAAAAAATAAATAGATTATGTTCTCTGCGCTAACTCGAAAAAGTAGACTGTGATCTCACCTTCAGAACATCACCTATAGATAATTGCATCGATTATTATCAAAATTGTCTCAGCATTTTAAGAGTAGATGCGTAACAAACCAGTTCGTACAATTTAGATTTTTTAAATGATTGTGACTTATTCAGAGGGAAATGGAAATGCGAATTGAACTAGCTATTACCATCATACTTTTTCAAACCCGAACTTAATAAGTATGCTTATATGTATATCTATATATAATATAACTTTAATAGACTCAGTACCCCTATTGCAGTATTTTAATAGCTTACCGCTTCCTTACTGTAACACTAATGACGTCACGAACACAAATGCCGCAATGAACGCGGAACTTTGAATATTTTCTAACTTGAGTTGTCATAATCTTGCCGCCTGTACTCGAGACTCGTTTAATGGTGTTACTTAACAATACTACCAGTCCTTAACAATAGTTTTAGGGATGAAATCGTTACTAAGGAATAGTTTAACTAATCATTAAATGGCTTTGTTTAAGTCAGACATGATTGATTGTTTCGATTTTATATGATGTGAAATTAGTTGACGGATCCGAAAAATTCTTTCACTGTTTGTAATCTACACCAGCCCCGTTTGTAAAACCCTGAAGCACAGCTATATATACTGTTAAGACATTAAAGTTGCATCTAGTTTTGTAGGCTTATGAAGCCATTTTATTTTAAAGGTTTGCGTTTCACTGTTTGTTTGTTTGATTGCTGAATTTGTGAAACCAGGTTTAGTTTTTATTTCGAGCAAAGTAGGTATTGATTGTTTCGATATCGAACTAATTAGTTTAAACTCTAAACCTATCCTTGTATATCATTTTAATTAATATATAGATATATCGATGAAGTCTATCAATAGCTGATGCCTTATAAATTACATTATTATGAAAGCTTGATTCAAGGTCGGATAGACTTGAAAGACGCTTAGATTAGGTCAATACATTAGCCCTTTGAGCCTATGAGCAGACTGCTTTACTGACCACTGCATGCAGACAAAAGAATCACTGGATCACGAATGAGGTGGTTACCAAGTTATACCTTGTATTAGTTTACGAGTTGATAGTAGGATCTTACTATTTAAAATATTCTAAATATAAAAAAAATCTGAATGGAAATACGTACTTAATACTAGAATTAAAAAAAAACCTGTTATTAAGACAAGTGATAGTGATTATGATTACGCATTCAGACAACAAAATAAGAACAAAAATTTCATGATCACTATACTTAGGTATTATGGACTTGCATATTCAGCTTCTTCGTCAAAAATAACCGTCTTTAAAACCTTAGTGTGTCTAGTTCAGGGGATGATCTTTCATCCCAAAAACATTTTTAGCTTAAAAAAAATGAGAGACCTATAGTATCTTTTAAAAATATATTACCTATCTACAATATGCTACATACATATATATAAATCTACTAAGTATAAATAAGTATGCAAGTAAAGTAAGGAAGTCATTCTTGAAGGAATGATATTAAACGACATATTTTTTGGCACCTACAGAAGTCAATTAACTATTTACATTTGTAATTTATATTTTTTTTATTTTTCCAGGGCACATGTCGCTTGGCGCTCTAGGCGACTCATTCTACGAGTACCTGCTGAAGGCGTGGCTGATGTCTGGCGGCGCGGACGAGCAGGCTCGCATCATGTTCGACACAGCTATGCAGGCGGCGCTCGACAAAATGCTTCGTGTCTCGCCCTCCGGCCTTGCTTACCTAGCTGAGCTTAAGTACGGACGTATCATTGAAGAGAAGATGGACCATCTGTCTTGCTTCGCTGGTCAGTATTTTTTTTTTTTTGAAGTCTATTTAATTGCCTATCATTTTGTCCATATTACGAACTTGTTTATCATGCATGTTTCAAGATCCAATTTGTGTGGATCTATAGTCAGAATTCAAATGTAAATATAAGTATTCTATAGCATTTGTTTTCTTATATCTCAGATGCCTAAACTGGGCGGAAATATCTAATGCATGCACCTAAGGCGTGCGCCAAAACTTATATTTATTTAAACATTGAATTTTATCGACATTCCAAAAATTCTCACTTTTCCTACGATAATGAATCCTATTCCTTTACCATTGTGGTCATTAGGACACAAACATAGAGTTCTTTAATCCTTAATCCTAAATAAAAATGAACTGTATTTCAGTACATGAAGGTTGTTAATATAAACGTGCTCATGTTTCAGGCGGTATGTTCGCGTTGGCGTCGACTACCCTCGACAATTCGATGTCGGAGCGTTATATGGACGTGGCTAAGAAGCTGACACACACCTGCCATGAGAGCTACGCGCGATCCGAGACCAAACTCGGCCCTGAGGCATTCCGGTAATACATCCATAGCAACTCTACTTACGAGCAAATTCCTTCATACTTTCGCCTTAAAACTACATATTAAAAAATGCACAGAATGTGACATTAAGTTGCAAACTCTTTTTCATAGTCTTGGCAAAGGCACTTCAGTTCAGATATGCTTTATTTCATTTTATTAAAGTACAAATATACAACTGTGTACTACTAGACAGATTATGGCGAATTCTGACTAATATTGATAAATGTTGAAAGTTTTGTATGTAAGTAAGGAAGTACTTGTGTTTTTTCTTACACAAAACCTACTGAATAGATTTAAATTATATTTAGGTACAGAGATACTTAGATTTGGTCAGGTACTTTTGCCCCAGGTGAGAGGGCCAAACTGCAGTTAAAAACAAGTATTATATGTTATAGTTACTTACGAATTGTCTGTTACAGATTCTCCAACGCGGCTGAAGCGCGTGCGCAGAAGAGCAATGAGAAGGTGTACCTCCTGCGACCTGAGACTTTTGAGAGTTACTTCATCATGTGGAGACTGACCAAGCAGCAAATGTACCGCGACTGGGCCTGGGAGGCTGTTCAGGTACGACACAAATATATTAACAAGTCACAAAACTGATATTAATGATCTCAATACAGGCTAGTCAATGCAGGATAAAATATACTTAACACTTTCACTGTCAACAAAGTAGACACAATAGTTAAATAGCAATGAGTCGTATTTGATAAATCGGACAGGGAAGTGGTTAAAAAATCGTATACTGATTCTAAATTATCTTCATTAACTTATTTTTTATAATAACCACCTTAAGACATACTTAGTGTAATGAACTGCAAATCGGCCCTTTACTTTTAGGCCCTGGAGAAGCACTGCCGCGTGGAAGGTGGCTACACCGGGCTCGTGAACGTATACCACCCCAACCCGCAAGGAGATGACGTGCAGCAGAGCTTCTTCCTCGCCGAGACACTCAAGGTATAACTCTTACACATGTTACAGTAAAACTACACGATGTCTAGACATGTATAGCTTACAATAAGAAACATTAATTCATCTTAAACGTTAATTTCATTTAAAAAAAAGTTAAGATCCACCCACGACACAGAAGAAAATCTCCACCCACGACACAGAAGAAAATCAACACAATCACAAAATCAAGTGTGGGAGAGCTATGCTTTGGCACGAATAGGTCGGCTCGACCGGAGTGATACCACTGCCTCACAGAAAACCGGCGTGAAACAACCACAGCGTTGTGTTTCGCCATGTGAGTGAGGTTACCGAAGGCCCAATCCTTCCCCTTCCCGGACCCTTCCCCAATCCCTAAATCTCCAAAGCCCTAATCCCTAAAAGGTCGGCAACGCACTCGTAACTCCTCCGTTGCAAGCAATCAGGTAATCCGTCTGCTCGTTTGCCGAATAATTACATAAAAAAAATCCTAAAACACTAGGATTTTTTGAAAATCCTAGAACAGGATTTTTTCTGTGTCGTGGGTGTTTACAAACATACAATTCACATACAAATGTACTCAGACCCGAAACAACAATTTATGGATCACACAAAATATTGTTCCGTGCGGGAATTGAATTGCCCTGCCAACGGGCGCCTATCACAATAGAGAGAAAGAGAAGAGGGAGAGGGAATGACAGAGAGAAAAAGAAAGATAATATAAGACTACTAAGTATCCGATAAATCAGTGCCCAATCATCAACACCACATGATGTTCGATTGCTGATCACTTATTCTGGGACACTATGTATAAAGAAAGCTTTGTCTTAAATTACTCCAGACTAGCTACTCTCGCGCGGTTTCACCCGCTGCTCGGCTCTATTTAATCGTAGCGTGACTTTTTGTAGCCTATAGCACTCAGTAACATTGTAGCAGTAACATTAGTAAAAGAATTTTGACAATCCAACCAGTGGTTCCAAAGAATACCCCCTACATACAAACTTACAAATTTTACCTCTTTATAATATTAGTATTTTATTTTTATTTTATTTTTTTGGCTCACCAACAATTGTTTACACGATAAAATATTGAATACATTCATCATAATACAATGCTTGTGGTACAATCTCTTATAGGTAAGCACAGCATGCACTATACTACTTAGTTAAAGTTAAGATTGCAGATTACATACAAATAATTATGACATTGTGAAAATCTAAGTAAATACATTTTACCAAGTATTAGTATAGACACACTTTATTTTTTATCTGTTCATAAGTAGAGCCCAATGGTATGGAAGATTTTCCTTCAGTGACCTTGCTCTAATTTCCTCGCGACCAGTTGATTTCATGCCCATTAATTGCTCTGACCTCAGTGTAATTTGTAGGCGACTGAACTATGACCCAGATATATGAGCGTCGTACTGCGATGCATATTATCGATGGTTTTCCGTACTTTGATATTTTGTTTGATCCTAATTTTCTAATGTTATAATTCAACTGGAATATTAATAAAAAAAAAAGTATTTCAAACAAAATCACACTACTGATTCAAGTGATTAAAAAATCAAAATTTGTAGGTGAAATTTGTTTTTAAATTTCACCATTTCAACTTTATTCACAGTCAGTCAGAGTTTAAATCTAATCTTAATGACATCGCCAACTAACATTACCATAATTTTAATTTCAGTACCTATACCTGATATTCGCTGACGATTCGTTCCTGCCGCTTGACGAGTGGGTGTTCAACACCGAAGCCCATCCGCTACCGATCAAGGGCAAGAACCCGCTGTACCGTGGCGTTGACAAGCCGGTCCTTCCGGAACCTGCGCACGCGCAGAACAACAGGATATAAGAACATCACTCAAGTAATTTGTTAAAAAAATGTTTCTTTTCACTAGACCTCAATAAGCCAGCCACTGTAACAACAGAGTACTGGCTGGATACAGACGAGCGTAAAAGGCGAGGCGAAGTAATTATGTCTTCGAAGTTTGTCACGATTCGTAAATCTAGAGTTGCATTCAAATATCTGTTGCGATTTTTTTCTCTTTTCGATCGTTGTTTTGATCAAGAAATGTAATTTAAACTTAACATGATCATTGATAGAATGCTGTTACCTTTTTTAAATTGCAAATGAAGATTTTATTTGTTCGTGTATCAAATCTCTCGAGTTACGAATCGGCTTGTTTTCGTTTGCCACGTCTCGTCGTACCGTTGTTAGTTATTTCCGTTCGCTTCTTCAAGACACAAGGTTGCATAATATGCGGGTCGCTTCAGTCAAAAAATACTTATGAATTATTAAATCTTCTTTTCTTCGGAAATTAATGTCTAAAATTATTTTCTTTTGCAAGATCGATACTTTTATGGAAACCGAAAAATATTTGATTAATTTTGGTGATGTAATTTGCAGAAGTTATTTAAAAGAAACCTTATATTACCCTTTACACTAAATTATTTGTCAAACAATCTAAACGCTCTTATATACAACATATATTCACAATTTTTTGGTACCTACGTAGTAATAAAATTAAATATTAAGGCGTAGTTGATTCAATCAATTTTTTTGGACGCATACGTTATACTAATGCGTATACATATATAAGTAATTTAGGGCTGCAGTAAGGGTTTTTAAAGTAAACATACAAGTATCATATCGATTTAAAATAATAATTCCAAAATATAAAAGAGTTTATCGACTTGCAAGCCACCGTGTCCAATAATGCTACCAAGTAGAGTGATATTGCTCAAGTCAATTAATGAGGCGTGATGGCGAATGGCGACACGTTCGTGTTGTAAATAATTATATAACGGTAACGTTATCAATGTGCAGTTCAAATGTTCCGATCTCAGACGTCAGACGAGCACTCGTGCTCTCTCACACAAACGTCTCCCCCATATTACCCCGAAATATGACAGTTCCCCCGTCTAATGATGGTAAACTTAGAGCCATTCATAAATTACGTCACACTTTAAGGGGAGGTAAGAACTAGGTAAAGTGTAACAAAAGGGTGGAAGGGATATTGAAATACATTACAAACCACGTGGCCACTATGACAATGCCAATTAATGAGTTTTTTTTAAATGTAATTTCTAATAAAATTATTTTTTAATTATAATAAAGAATAATTGCAAATTTCAGAACGTCTGCCTCAATTGAATTACTCTTATGATAACTATAACATTATCAAATATGTGGTGACATCGCACCCGAAAAAGGAGGAGAGGTCTTACAAATATGAAAAGCTGTAGCAAAGACATTCAAAGACAAAATTCATGAAATTCGTGCGATGTAATTTATGGACGGCCCCTTTATTGCGTCGCATTTAACTATAAAACTTTTCTTATCGGTATAATGTAAAACTATATGTATATTATGAATGATGAATGTTAATTATTTATTTATTAGCTATGAATACTCAGTTTGTAGTTAATATTCATAGGTCAAATATAACAATTACCAAATTTAATTATTATTTATTATTAATACAATTTTGGATGAAATTTCTTATATAATACAATTCGATTGAGATTAGATATGTTATCAAATGTATTATGGATTAAGATCTGATGTAGGTGAAATGGCTCAGTAATAACGACCAATGTAAACTTATTGTGGGCATTACTTAGTAATAGCACAAACGTTATAAGTTTAATACGGTCGGGACTTCGAACACGGAACTGTAGTCATTAATTCTTTCTTCCCTTGTTGTGACCAAGCCAATACCTGTAAGTTGTGCTATGACAGTTAAGTATTGGAAGTGCCGGCCTCAAACCTTTCTACTTAAACTTTGCTTTACCAACTACCAGTGGACGATACGCACGAAACTCGTACTCCATCCAACAAAACACGAAAGCAACACGGGTTATTTTTAATTAGATATATCTATTGATATGTAACTTACCTGATAATAGGAGAAAATATTTTTATTTATTGAACTTTTAATTTACTCTTTTCGTATCTTATACATGTAATGAAGTTTGTTTTGAGTCGGATCTCGTATTTATAAACTTGAAATATATTTTCTATATTATTTTATTGATGACGTATCATAATAATTCGGTTTATAACAAACTAACATATCTGTTAATACAATTTAGTGTTTAAAATGAGGTTGAGGCAGGGAAGGTACGACGCCCTCCACCGGCCTTGTAGTTCATTGTTCAGTTCAAACTTTGGAGTGATGTAGTTGATATAATTTATTGTAAATCTTTTTCAAAGTGTTGTGTGTGATACCGTAGGTATGAATTGATAACAACATCTATTTAAATATTGAATACAAATCGATCTACGTTTCAATACAAACAACGCTTTACTTATCCCTTATAAAAACAGAAGCTATTCGCTTTGACATTTTTGTGATTTTAATATACAAAGTTACATATTATTATTTTATTATAAATTTCTGCACCTGTTAATAAAGCATTAAAATAATAATAATAATTATTTGTTGAAGAAATATTCTGTTTGGTTGATTTTTTTATTATTTGCGATGGGCTGGCGTTTGGCTGCTATCGCGCCTGGTAGTAAGCTTTGACGCGGCCTACGCTACAGCCTATAAGCGACGTTTCAATGGAAAGACAACTCCACTAGACATTGTATCACTCACTGATATTAGACAATGTAGTTTGAATAACTGTAAATTGTGTATATAATAGTCATAGACGATAAAATATTTTAGTTTTAGGTTTCTGTGTGTAGATTAACATTGTTATTTTTTAAATTAAGAGTTGTGGGCGTGTGCGTCTGTTGATGTACATATAAAATTTACGTTTATTGTATTTATATAATTTATATTTTGTACTGCCATGTTACGCGGCCGCTGCCCTATGTAACTTCATAGTAAATTGAAATCAAAGCTGCAGGAATAATCGTAATATGATGGAATTTTCAACTCTAACTTAATTGGCTCAAATGCGATTATTCCTTGCAGTACATATTTACGCATTTAACTTTATAATTCTTTGTATTCTGCTCAATCTGCGTTGTAAAGATTTCACAGAGGGTATGTGGAGATACCCTAGAACAATGGTGTAGTGAAAAATTCGCTGATAGTAAAACCTATATTAAAAATATTCAAAGTAAACTGCAACAAATGTCTGGATATTGGAAACTATACAAAGATATTGGTGTTACAATTAATTTGTGTCGTGTTGTTTTATATGTAATTAAATGCATTAATCGCAAAATGGCATAATAATTGATAAGACGTGTCTGTTTATGTGACTAATGTTAGCCTAACATTTGTCTTGTAAAAGACAATTTTAATATATACCCTGTATAATTCTGAGACATTTCAAGGATGTATCAAAAACACTGCCTTCCTATGCGTTGTTCTAAGCGAATGTCAATGTATGCAAGTCCTGCTCGCCTCTGAAATAGTCCTGCATGTACTGTAACAGATGTATGTATTACACTGTAGTTTAAATAATAATGTACATTTCAGTTATTAATAAAACATGTTTATAAACATTATTCCGTTGTTTTTCTTATTTCATAGTACTATTAATTAGGCTGTTTTGTCCTAATACTTACGTACCGACTCGAAGTATTTAAATGCACGGTTGGTGCGGTGGCTGGGCAACAGGCAAGGCAACGTGTCGCTGGTTCGATTTTGTCACGGAACAACTCTGGGTGATCCCATAGTACTTTTAATTAGGCTGTTTTGTCCCAATAATTAAGTACCATACTATCTCGAAGTATTTGACTACACGGTTGGTGCGGTGGCTGGGCAACAGGCAACGTGTCGCTGAGTCGATTCCGTCACGGAACAACTCTTTTTGTGATCCACAAATTGTTGTTCCGGGTCTGGGTGCAATGTGTAAGTGAATTTTTATGTTTGTAAACGCACTCACGACACAGGCGAAAATGCTAAGGTGGGGGCAAAAAGAAAAGACATAAAAGAATCTTAGGTGTCCACTGGTGGCGCTGATACAAAACCTCAACAACCGTCGACTTCAGATCGGGAACGTCGTGGGACACGGTCGTTTCAGGATGGCCGAGTTAGCTATTAAAGAATCAGGTTATTCAGTTATTAATTATTTACTATTATTAATTATTCACATTTAAATAATAGTGCATGAGACAATGTATGAAAAAATCAGAGTGACTAAATAGGAATGATTTCTACATCCTTATTTTAGCTACTCTTTGGGGAAGTGATATCACAGTTTTAGTTTATGATTTCATTCAATAATCTGTTCTATAATTGATTAACATGTAATTGGTATGAGTTTATTATAGTTATTAATTGCTTGAGGCAAGCTGTTGGGCAGTTACGATCCCACGGACCTGACTTCCGGGAGGTGTCTTGTTCTTCATCACCGGTTAATCCTTGTGACGAGCTGGAGTGCATGAGGGACAAGCCCTTCTACCTATTTTTTGCCTTCATTGGCTGGCTTGAGTGGAGATTCGATAGAGTAGGAGTTGAAGGAGGCTCGAGGGCTTTATCTCAGTAAGATGCTGGTAGGGGACTTGACTGTACTTCCGGCTTTGCTCTGATAGCCGTAGGATGCCTCTACTTCCCCAAGCAGCTCAACGTATGTTGCCACCGTGTCGTTACATGCTTGCCGTTTATTGAGTTTGCCAGTCATCCCTGCGTGTTTATACGTGTATATCAATATTGGTCAGGGTCAATACTACATATTTCCATAGTTATCAAATCTACCAGTCCATAGTCACGTAGGTACAACCGAAGCCATTTCATTTTCTACCATCGGTATTGCACAATAATTCTGCATCAACCGGGGATTTTCCTTGGGTGCACCTGCATAGTGCATAAAGGGATAATTGCCGGCTCACGCCCATTTCACAAATATTAAATTTGTACAAAGGGCCTCTGCGATTAGGCTTCGGCCCCTCGTACGCCTTCGAAAGGTCCGCAACCCTGTGGTCCCGTGACTGGAAACGAACATTAAAATAATATTATTTTATAGGGACATAGGAAATATTATCCCTATTGAATAATAGGGATTTATTAACATATATTATCCCTATTCAATAATAGGGATAATATATGTAAATAAATCAGTATGATATTAAGCTTTACGCTCTTACGCGTAGTTAATTGGTTATTTGTAATCTAATTTACTCGATTGGGTTTAGTGACTGGGTTTCTCCCAGTTGTGCAGTCTCTTTATGCCTTAAGGCTTAAGCCATTCTGTCTCCTGCGTAAAATGGACCGATTTCCGTGGTTAATAAGCGCAATAATACCGACAATAGTATCGTGACCCCGGCCAAGAGCAGTCGATGTAAGAGTATGGTTTCTAGTCAGAAAGAACCTGATACTTCCTTTCGTTCCATCGTCGCAAGAGAAAAAAAAACAATTTTTCACTCTTAAAATAAAAAACAGAGGAAATCATTTTGTGTTCTCCTCGCCCTTTCGTATCGGAATTCAAGACTACCTAACTGTCTCCACGACCTTGGTCGCGCCAGACTTCAATGTTTTCGTGTTTCAATTTGCTTACCTATTTGGAAAGTTCCTTCCGTTACATTCTATTAATACTTAATTGTTAAACATAAGATTAATAGCGTAATTGTACTAAGTATCTACTAATTGATCAAACCCAAGCGAGCAAATCCGATTATTTGCTTTTATAGAGCCTAAAGAAAATAAGCAGACGGATCAGTTGGTGAAGTCTTGAGTGTTATCAAGGCCAACTGCCAGGAAGGGCAAGCGACCTTTTATTAGGCTGATCAACCATAAGGCGAGGGTGATCCTGATCCGAAAACTTGAGAAAATAAAGTTGCAAACTAGACTAGATACCTAAAAGGAAATCATAACATTGAGTAGTAAAATGTAACCTTCGAGTTGTCAACGCTGCAAGGTTATTTTGCCAGCTAGGAACACGGCCCCTAATTGGATGGCTTGCACAAATGTTAGCCCGTAGCGTAGACAATCATGCCGCGGCATTTAGAGCTTATGACTTCGTTACCTTTCGGCACCCCCTTTATAGGTCGGCGCCGCGCGCCATCAGCAGGCCAAGAGTTATGAGTTCCTATTACCTTATCATTTCGTTCATAGGTTCTTTGCTACTGAAAGTAGGTACTAAGTTATTGTTTATCAATAAAATGAAATACCTGAAAGCCCTAGTGCCCGTGCCAAATCCACCGACAAACAAAGACTACCATCGTCGTATTTTACTGGAACCATTTTTCTACACTTTCCTTGGAAAACTGCGAATAGGATGTTCATCATCAAGTAAGCTATGAACAAATCTGTAGATCTCTTAGATCTACGAGTATACTGCCGAATTGAAACGATAGCGTAAATTCGCAGTTTCGACTGACTCGCTCAGTGATTATTTAAATAGGACTAGTGCATCCCATAAACACAGAAGTTTGATGGCAAGGGTTTAATGCTCAGATAAAGAGAATTCTAGGATAAACGAAGATCTACATAAAGCGCTGAGTAAGCCTGATAAGAAATGATCACTGTCTCTACTGATACAAACTTCATCTATACTAATATTTGATTGATTGATTGATAAAGAGGTAAAATTTGTAAGTTTGTATGTTTGTAAGTTTGTATGTAGGGGGTAATCTTTGGAACCGCTGGTTGGATTGCCAAAATTCTTGATCACTGATAGATAGCTACAATGTTCCTGATTGCTATAGGCTATAAAACATCACGCTACGATCTAATGGAGCTGAGCAGCGGGTGAAACCACGTGAGAGTAGCTAGTTTTTTGTAACTGCATATCAATTCACTGTGCCTATTGTATTTGTAACGTTCATCTCTCGGATACCCCGATGTAGCGATTTTTATTTATTGTTACGGATAGTGAATTATGAAAGAGAACACGTCAAAATGTTGAACCGGCAGAAAAGCATCTTCTTGTGACAGTTCATCTATGGGTTCCTAGGATTCATACAGCCCTGGTATTCGAGTAGCACTTCGAAAATTAAAAGCACACAGTAACTGGAATAGTTCCATTCCCATTTATAGTTTCTTGTTACTAACCAAAGCCTCTAGATAAGTGGTAATATACCAGCCTAGATTCTGGCCTATTTAAAAATCAGATCAGTTAGTCTCCTAGATGAGTCATGAACTAGCACAGTTCAGTTAACGAGCTGGCTATGAAACCAGCGCGACACCTTTCAAGGCAACAAATATTGTTTTAATCAGAGGACTAAAGACCATTTTCTTTATGGTCGTGGGACGCTCCCTGTCCCCATTCTGCACCACGTAAAGGGTGGTGGGGTTGCGAGGGGCGCAGCCAAGCTTTCGGCTCTGCTGAAATAGTTTGCCGACTGACAAACTGACGAACGTACTCCGCGAAACACACCGACCGACAATTTACTTCTAATTCATTTCCGTATTTTACTTTTTCTTTTTCTCCAATAAGTTGACTCTTAGTACTCGTTGTTTATATTTTAATCGCTGCAAATATAAACTTGTTTTATTTAATTTATCTGTTTTTATCTTTAGAATGACCTTTTGCGATAATTTTGTTGTTAGCACTTAGACTGATTTGCGTATGACACTCGATTTGGTGGTTCGTTTATTTATAAACTGAAACAATGTGGACGCTGAAATTGCTGCATTTGGTGACGGTCGCCGGCATAGTTACAGGTGAGAATATTTTAATAGGTAATATTACGTTTTACATTTTATGCAGTTAGTGTATGTACAAGTTTTGGTTCATGTACTAGTGTAATAACTTGCGTATAAACTTAGTAAGCAGCCATTATGTAATTAAACTTATCTGGGCTCATAAACACTGAAGAACACCTAGCTTCAGATTTAAAATGTTTTACAAAACACTAATATAGTCCAGTTATATTGGCTTTATTATAATTGTCCAGCATTATTTTGAAAGCCTGAAGTTTAACATCACGATCATGATGAGAGAGAATCGGTGGACGTTTGGAAGCGTGCGATTACCAAGTCATTTAGACGTCCTCTGTACATTATTGGTTTTGATGAAATTTCTGTCTAACGCTAGCAAAGTAAGACGCTCCTATTGTATCATATAGTAATAGTAACTGCATTTAAATGCTCATTTATTTTAAAGGCCTGGTGTCGTTTATTCAAGCATGAATTTTTTTTTTATTGTTTTGTGTTGGTACTGTATATCGATAATTCGATGTGCTTTTCCTTCCTATTTCGCTTATTAAACCTCACTAGGATTTTGGGCCTCAGTTTTAGGAGTGTTTTCAAAGTTCACACCCTGACCCGGACAATTAATTGTTATGGTACCTATACACAAGGAATGGTTCCGTGCGAAAGTTGAACTCACGATTTTTAGCACAGCCGCCAGTTGCCCAGCCACTGCGCCACCGTGTAGAAAAATTGATGGTTGTGTTAGTAAGTTTATGCATCTATCTATATATGTATAAATTGGGAACGGGCGTTAAAATAAAATTAAATACTTAAGTTTGAAAATTATTTAGTTGGCATTGTAAATAGTTTATGAGAATTAGTATATTAGGTGATGTCTTATATTTACGTGACCACCCGCATTGAGCAAGCGTGGTGATTAATTCTCAAACCTTCTCCGTGTGTGAAGGGACCTTTGCTCAGCAGTGGGCACTTATAGGCTGATGATTATGATGAGGTTATTTAATTAGAGATTTTTGTTTCTGTTCATTATTTCCTTAGGGAAAATATGGTATATATACCTAAAACACTCAATTTTACCATGAATGAAATCGAGTACACAAAGAAAAAACAGCTTTATATTTGTAAGTAAATAACTACCTACCCATTACGCCACATCAGATATACTGCTGATTGTCCTACATTACAATAGAAACTGAGAAAGATAAGTCGATGTATATCACTTAATCTTAATCGCAGAGCTTACTCTATTGATGTTTAAGGAGTTCCCTGGAGGGTCTTCCACATTTGCGATCAGACTTGAATGACCTGCTCTTTTGAACGCAAATTGAATTTTTCAAACCGGCCTATTAATGCCGGTGTTATGTCGTAACATAGGTACAAATATTTTTGACAACCGCCTCGTTAGTCTATCTTAGTAGATCTGTCTTACACCCGGTTTCCGAAAGACACATCAGATGGCTTGGATAGAAGGATGCCCCTTACTTGGAAGTCGACCAGACAGATCAGACAAAGATCTGCTGGATGACAGAATTATCAACAACCAATCAGATGACTTGACAAGAGTTTTAACAGCAGATTAGTTAATTTTAGCGTTGACAAGCCTTTCAAAAACCGGGTGTTAGTATCTGTCTTAGTAGTAGATCTTAGTTAAAAAAAAGTGCAACTTTTTATATGGCGCAAACTATCGTTCTAAAACATATATTTCTTGAAAACATAATGATATAAAATATTTGTAGAAAATTAGGGGTTCCATTAACCGTATCTTCCGATGCATAGTTAAAATCGTAATCTCAAACTCTATCTACATTACTGGCTCACTGATTGCTGACAATAATAACTTTAATTATTAAGTAACACATTAATAACTAATTTAAATTACTAAAATTAAAATATTACATATACAACGATGTTTACAGTAACCAAATCTTGTAGTTTAGTTACCTGAAAATTTCATAAAGATATTCCGATATGAAAACTGACACGCGCGCCGCGGGGTGTCAGGAGCGCGCAACCTTTTGGGTCACTTCCGGTGACAAGTTCCGCTGTCTGTCAGGCGTCAGGAGCCTCGCTAAGGCCAGGCCTAAATTAAGGCTCCGAAAACAAAAGGTGACCCGACTTTTCGGCGTATCTAATACTATATTAAAAGAGGTACGCGTTTGTGAGGTTAAGGACGCTAACATCCGAAACTGCCGAACACCTTTAAAAATATTTCTATTTTAAAATCCTATTTATTCCTAATTACTCTGGGCTATAATTATTTTAAAAAATGTTATTTTCGGTTCCTACCAAAATCAAACTAAAGTGTAAAAAAGTGTCTGATAAAAAATGTACAAATAACTATGCATTTTTGTAGTACTCGCTAGGGCATGCCTGTCAGCTATACATGCATATACTTCTCACATAAACACAAGTTGGTAAACGAGCATACGTTTTACCTGATGGTAAGCAATCAGCACCATCCAAGGACACGATTACGAGTACGTTGCCGGTTTTTTGGGATTAGGATTCCAGAGATTTAGGGATTGGGGCGGGATGGAGAGAGGGGAAGGATTGGGCCTCCGGTAACCCTACTCCTAACATTGTAGATGCTACACACCGGTTCTCTGTGAGGCCGTGGTATCACTCCGGTCGAGCTGACCCATTTGTGCCGAAGCTTGGCTCTTCTACACTAATTTCATTTAATCTGGGAGTATTGGCATTTTTGTCTAAAGTGAATTTCTGTTGAATAAAGTGGATGAGAAAGGATACAGGAGTCCGCTTAGCATTTTGAGTCACAGAGGACACCAGTGTCCGCTTTGGCTTTGATCAAAAGAAAAATGGAGTCGTGAATGGACATACAGAGTTACGCAGGCCTTATAGGCAGTATAGGCCTTAGCCGGGGTGGCGGGCATACCTAGAGGAAAGAAGTTATTTAATGATTTTCCCTCATAAAAAATAGGGAAAGAAAAAGGCTCCAGTAATCTCGAAAATCGAAATGATTGTTTATTAAATTACAGATTGGAGATATTTTTATTAATGTCAATGTTGTCCTCACGATCAGATTGGGCAAATTAAGACTCGATCGACTTGCAGGTTAGGGGCATGCTTCTATCCAAGCCATCTGATGTGTCCTGATACTACTCCATCATACGCTACTCTTTCTTTTCTTTTCTTCAATCATCCGAACGGTAGACCGTCCTTTAGTCTGCACAATACTTTTTGCTTAGTAGGTGTTTGTGCTGCTCTTGCAGTCTCTATCTGCGCGACCCAAGTTAGGCAATAGCTAACCTAACCCTGTCATCCCGTCAAGGAAACCATCAACCAGGGTGCATTACACATCCTTTTGGCACCATACAGTAATGCGAATATATTTTATGTTTAAACAAAAAAGTATGTGTTAGTTTGATTAAGACGGAATGGTAATTTCAAGCTTATAAATTGCAATAAGTATTTAAAATTATATAAATTACATATAACTCGGAACATCGAACAGCACATTGGTAATTGTCAGGTTTCGAAACCTGTATGAATGAGAATCCTAAGCCTCCGAGCAACCTTGACCATATTATATTCTTTTAATTTATAAATTGAACTACTACAACTTGTTGTTATTTGTTGTGTATAAATGTTAATTTTGAAATCAAATAGATGTGTTGTTTTTTTATATTTATAAATAAATTTACGTTTTTTACCACAATTAATTGGCGTACGTTTGTCTCATTGTCATTATTAAACCTTCCATTAATATCCACTGATTTGCTGCAAAAGTGGAACGTGTAATATTTATAAAAAACTATATAAATAAACGATACGATGGAACGCATCAGTTAGGTTCAGACACCGAGTTAAAAATAGTTCAGATATTACTAGAAAGAGAGCATGCGATTATCTCTTTCCTTTTCGACTCATTGAAATAAAGATTAAATAACATTTATTATGTACTAGAATATGATTTTACGATTCATTAAAACAAAGTTTATGTTTTATTGTATTCATTTAAATCTACCTACGTATTTACTAGGGCAGAATGAAACGGTCATTTACAAGTTATGAGGTGAAAAAATGTATCCACAAAACAACAAAATGGATCTCATCCGTTTTTCCCACGCTACGTAACGCGTGTGAGAAGTGCGTCCCAGGGATTAAAAAGAGATAAAACAGGGAGCCTGGAGGCTGTCCGGGTGCGAGCGTGAGAAATACGGGATGCTGACGTGTCCTTTTTATCAGGAGAACATGAAGCAGTAAGATATTAAAAGTCCACGTGGAATTCGACGTGTACGTTTTACTCTCCAGTACATTAAAGTTTTGTTTAAAAGAATTTAAACTTTTTTCTGTATGTCATCCACTTGTATCTACTGTATAGCATTATTATTTTTTAACTATTTATTTATTTTGAACAAATCTTTGATAGCTAATACATAAATCTATAAAATTGCGAATTTTGAAGAAAACAATGGGTGAATCAATCTTTTCCAGATTGGCAAGTATTTAAAAAACATTCCTAATTTCCTATCTTAGACCCCAAAGGTCAAGTGCGTAATAAACTCGTAATACATTTCCATGGTCATAGACAGTTTGAGTATTGGAAAGTTGGTCCCATTATTTTTCTTTTTATAGCAGCTAGCGCGGCGTAAACCCGAAAGTCATAACGCACGGGGTTCTAGGCGCGCCGGCCACTCCCCTGACATTTATCCGTAGACCATAAAAAGAAATATCTACCAGTGTAGCATGGCAGGCGAAGGCTCACTCCGTAAAGGCCTCGCCGCGCCCTATAAGCTGTTCCGCTCTAACAACGCCCCAGTAACCTGTTTCGCTCTACCTCTTCGACTGGATTTAATTTGCACTTGAAAGGCGCCAATCATTTCAGCTATTGTAGATAAGGCTTGATAAAACATTAGTTACACAATGACAAACCAGTAATTATTTATTTAACTTACTTTTATAACTAATATAAATTTAATAGACCTTTAAATAAAATATATACATGAACTTTTTTTTCAATATGCAACAATATAAAGGTCCTCAAATAC